GAAAAAGAGACTGCCTCGAGGGCAGCGTCAACCAAGTTAGGGGAATTAATTCACATTCTCGTTATGACTCATCTCTTTGTCGAACCTTTGCGCTCTGCGACCTTAAATCGCTTAAAACAATTGATGGAAACTAATTATCTACCGAGAATTACCGACAGTTTTGAGGCGCTCTTAATCCACAAAGAGAAGTAAAGACATTTCCGAATCAGGTCACACACAAACATCAGCTAACAACTCCCTTTCTCTGACCGAGGGTTGATAAGGTGTGTATCGAGGATTATTGAGACTTTTGCAAGATTATTAATCCGTGAATAAGTAATTTTCATTTCCGCCCTCAATTTCAATTGTTCGACCTTCTCTCTGACCTCTAAATGTCACTTTTACATTCGAAGACTTCATCTTAATTCTGTAGCACATCTTCGGAGGCAATTTCGTTTTTTTCTTCCCTGACCTGCTCTCTTTTCTGACCCCCGACGGCGCACAATTCGGGCCCCACGCTGACGGGCACCTGCTCGCATGGCCGTCCGTTCGTGTCTCGAGGCGACTGGCATCGGCCGGCCCCAATCATCGTGTCGACGACCAAGTGGCCAGCCACGTTCGCCGGCAGAAGTGCGGCGGCCGTCTTCGGACCACGGCACTGCCGCAGGCACGCCTCCAATCGATCAGCTCCGAGTGGCGTATGTTGCGGCAGCAAAAAAATCGATATAGCCATTTTTAAGCCGTCAGCTCCAATCGATTACTGGAAGGAACGATTATCCCGTCAGTGAAAGCGCAGGACTATTCGACAGCTTTTCTGCCGGTGAATACGATTACTTTATATTCAGGTGCGTTATTCCTAATCTTATCTTCTAATCACTCTGTAAACCCGTGATTAAATGCTATTCTTCAGACTGAACGTAAGCTTCACTAATCTCCTTAGATTGAAATTCACTCCAGTCAATTTGCTTAGTTGCTCCATGCAATGCCATATTTGGTTTTACCCAGACATCGGGGACATTTTGTTTTAATGCACAAAAATCGATCAATTTTCGGCTGTTCCACTTGTCTCCTGTGTTGAACCTCTTTTTCAATCCCACATTCTCGACAGCGTCTGGTCAGTATCATATCGCGTGATATGAGGTAGCAGCTTTATCTAACATCCGCAAGTCTCATTGTCTATTTGCTGAATCAACTTGTTAAACATCATAAAGAAGATTACTTGATTTCATTCAGATGCTCTGGTATACCCTTTTATGGTTTAGTGTTACTAAACTGTTTCCCCTAAGGTTCGAGCGAAAACACTAATTTTGAAAAGTAGAGATTGAGAAGGTTAATTTGCTTTCATGTCTATCCATGCATGTGTTCATTTGTGCATGTGTTTAAATATGTTGGATTCCAACGACCAAGGCATCTGGCCTAGTTCATCAGAGTTAGTAAGTAACCTTTTAACCCACTCCGATTATGTAATGACGGACACAAATTTGACATTATTGATGCGATTTCTGTAGGCGATTAGGCATTTCGAGAGTACATGCTTGGTTAGGTGGACGAAGCATTTTGTGTTACCTCATACGTACAGAATGTGTGATCATTTTCGGCAGCATGGCAGCTCGTCATTCTCTCACTTTATGTCTCGCTCAGTGTCCTAGTTGAAGCCCTATTTATGTTTGAGCTGCCT